ATATTAACTATAGATTTTAGTGAAAAAATATACAGTTATTGTGTGACCATTGTAATTGAGTGGCCAGTGGTGTTATTGAAGCTGTTCTACATTTTCAGGGTTTCATTTGAAGCATATACAATCTGTGTCTATGCTTTAAAGGTCATTTGCTTTAAAAGTTCTATCCCATCATTTAGTACATTTACATTATTTGATTAAACACTTTGTAAAAGATACAAATCGTATTTTCCAATTATATCCATACATATATATATATTTACATATATATGCATGTATATCTTGTGTGTATGTTCAATCATTAGTTTTGTAAACTTCTTCGACTACACCATCGCCACGACTCCAAGAGGAGTAAGTCTTTGCCGGCATCATCGTTGTATACTACGCAACAGCAGCTGTTGTGTTCGTGTTCGCTGGCGGCGGTGCAGTCGGTTGTGCCACTGACGGCGGAGGTGTTGCATTTGACGCTGCCGCGGCAGCGTCGTTGATGTGACCTAAATTGTTGGATGACACAGCGGAAGACGCAGCTGAGGCCGATTTGCCGACCTGTTGCTCGCTAGCTGTCACTAAGTTGTTCAGAGTGGGCTGACTACTGCTGCCCAGGCTGCTGCTGTTGGTCTGATTGCTGCTGACGGTGCCGCAGCTGTTGCTGTTGGTGCTGCTGTTGCTGACATCATTGAATGTTGCCGCTGGCGGCAGTTGCTGGCTGCTGTTGCTATCGTCGTTGATTGCAGCTGTCGTGGCCACAGCAGCGGCAGGCTTGGCATCAGCCGCAGACGGCTCTGGCTGGGAGCAGGGCTCGGGCTTTACATTCAGCGTTGCTGGGGTACTTTGCTTTTCAGACGGCGTCTGGTTTAGCCGCTGTTGTTGCTGTTGCTGCTGTCGCTGCTGCAACAATCTGTACTCCACCGAATGCAGTGGTCCGGTTCCGCGCGATACTTGGTATAGCACCCGAGATATGATCAATGCCACTTGCTGATCCAATATATGCGACATGACCAATCCAAGCAGTCTTTGCTCCTGCTGCATGAATAGCGAACGATTATCGGGATGCTTGGCCAAATGGAGCAGCGTCCCAGCTGCCCTTCGCAACATATCCAGGCTGGTTCCCATTGAGTCGGGATTCTCCCGGAGATAGTTAATTCCATGCTGGTTGGCCACACCCAACGCAGTCTGTTCCGCCTGTTCGATAAATGCAACGAGATACGAGATGCACGGGGATTGCAGGGCCACAGTACGCGCCATCGCACTGTCCGCTGCAGCCAGGTAATGCAGCAAGTTGACTGAGAACTCGCGCAACACCTGATCCTCGTTCCGACACAGATGACGCGTAAGCACCGCGCACAGTTTTTCCAGCCGTGAAAACGGTGGTGTCGCAATCACCAAATCAACATTTGCATCCGTGACACATAATTTGCACAGCGCTTCCAGGGCGAGGCGTTGCGGGGATAACGCAGAGTTCGGGCCGCACGAGGGGAACGGGTCCTGACCATGCGCACTGGGGCACACGGCCCAGTGCAGCAATCCATCGATTAGCGGGCGTGCAATTAGCTCATCATAGCGGGAGAGCTCCAGATGTCCGGCTATGTTTGCCATTGCCACGAGCATATTTTCTCGTATGGTTATTAGATACTCCCACCACCATTCGCGCTCTCCCTGCAGCGAGCTGCAGGAGTCGGTAAAGTCTGTATCCTCCTCCCTGTCGTAGTTGCGCGTCTTGGGAGTCCGCCGCAGGTGGTCGTGGTTCAACAATAGCAATCGACCGAGCACTGCTAAGAATCGCGACGACTTAGCCAACACCGTTTCGTTCCCAGGCACAAAAGTCAAATTTCGAAAAATATTGGAGAGCGCAATGCAGCGGCGCGCCAATGAGTCCTGACTTTCATTCACTAAGTACAAAGAGGCTTCGTCCCGCGTGTAGCATTCATCCTCGTAGCTAGAGTCGCGGCGTCGCTGCAGGACATGCGCATCATCTCGCACCGTGGACTTGGGATCAAATCTCTTGGGCATTGAGGCAACTCCATTGGTAAGACGTTGTTGTTGCGGAGATTCGATTTCCATATCAATGGTTCGACAATCACTGTCGGTTGTATTGGCTCCCACGGTTTCGTTGTCTAGCTCCTTCTTCGGCTCCACAGCTGGCTGCGCAAACTCCTCCCCCATTTTGGACTTCTTGTCGCTACTAGCTGCACCGATACTACCCACAAGGCGCCGCTTCTTATTGTAAGTCTGTTGAAGTAAACTACTGTCCTCGGTACTACTTGTGGTGTCCTCTTGCTTAAGCACAGGGGAAATATCTTCGTGTTTTGGGCTAATATTGCTTTTCTCTGCGGCTTCCTGTTTGCTCTTGTGCTTAGAGCGTATGTATCGCGCAAATGGAATGTTAACAATCTCTGACTTAAACACATCAATGATGCCATCAAGTGGGTCGGGTTCCGTGAAGCCATAGGTCCAAGCATTACTGCCCACTGGTTCCAGGTGTTCATACAACCTATTCGTGTCAATATCCCAAGCCTTTTGACGCTCGTCCACAAAAATATCGTTATCAGCGGTCTGAATGCGAACGGGCACACCCTTCCGTGTGACCATGGTGTAGTTAGGTGTAAACGAAAGGAGAAGTGTTCGCTCTTCGGGATTGGGCTGAACACGTATCTGACCCAAGTCAATGCCCTCGTCAGCATCATCCGAGTCTTCGCTGTGGGCAACACGCTTCACATCCATATTCTCGTAGTGCCTTCTGCGGTTGTAGCTAGAAATGCTGTGCACTGAACGCGGTTGCTTCCGCTGCAGCTTGTCCTCAGCTTTCAATGATACAGTTCCGCTATCAGCGTCATCATCTGCCGCCTCATCTGCTGCCTCGTCACAGCGTTCATCGAACATTTCCGCTAGATTTTTTTGGAAGTGCTCCAGCAACAGCGTTAGCAGGCCCGGCAAATTTGATATGCCAAAGAATTGTACTGTCGAATCGTCGAATAAAAGAACATTAAGCACATCTAATGCCCATGTGCACTCAGCAAGTAAGCCCGAGCGCATGGCCATAAAAATTCGCCAGGGATCGACAGGGCACACGTCAAGCTTGGTCAGGCGCTTCCGGCGGTACAGTACAGGCGTAGTCGATTCTACACTATCATGTGGAAAGATTAGTTCTTTCTTGACAATCTGTGCTCCTGGGCCAGTCCCTTGCGGGGCATAGACAGGCTGTTGATTGGTCAGCTGATGTGGCGGCTGCTGCTGTGTGGGCTGCATTCCTTGTCCAACTATGGGCGACGGCTTTTGCGCGATCATAGTAACCGGAGCACTGCCAACCATAGGCACACCTGGTGAGCCACTACCAGACTGTGAGGGTGGTGGCATAGCGTAAGGCGGTTTCACCATGCCGGGCACAGACGGCATACTGGATGCTGGTACCCCGCCATGCGGTGGCTGTGGCACTGTTTGTCCTTGCTGCTGCTGTGGCGGCATTACAGGCACTCCGCTGGGCATACGCTGTTGCTGCCCAACTCCAGCTGGTGGACGCAGCGACGGCTGCGAAATACTTGATTGTGGTGGCGCCTGAGCCGCATTTATTTGCGCCCATTGTGGTGCCGCCTGTTGTTGCTGTCCGGGCGGCGTACTTTGCTGGTAAGGCGGCTGTTGTTGCGGCGGAGGTGGTGGCTGTTGGGGTGGATAACGATGTTGTTCCCACTGAGCTACCCCAGCTTGCTGCTGCCCATGCGGACCGTGTGGGCCTCCAGGAGGAGCAGCACCCCGAGGTGGTGCATTGCCCCACGACTGTGGTGCAGTCGATGTGGGATATTGAGGACGATACTGCGGATTGTTGCCTTGCCAACCACCTTAAATGTTAAATAAATTATAGTTAAACGGAGTGCCAATTGAATGGATTGCTCCACACCAAATGCTTACCATAAATTTGAGGCCGCGTAGCATAGCCAGGGTAAGGCTGAGAGTCTTTAATAAAGTCCGGATGTCGCCGTGGCTGAGGACTCTGCAAATAAAGGACGAGTTATTTCCGGCACTTATTTTAGTAAACGTAAAGTTTGAGATTTACTTGATCCGGCGGCCTATAGTAATCCTGTTGATTCGGAGTGCTTGGTACATATCCGCTGTTTGGTGGGGCTACCGGAGCGCCGCTAGTCGGAGGACCACCCGCAACCGCTTGTGCCGGTGGCTGTGGTCCACCGGGTGGTGCTTGACTGTAGGGACGATTGCCATAGGGACCGTACTGATTAGCACCAGCTGGAGGGCTGCAGGATGAAAAAGAAATTCATTAAAATAATATGTACTTCATCGTGCGTAGCAACTCTTCTAAGGCCGTGACAAATAAAATAGGCTCAGTACGGTTGAATTTCTGTATATGAGAGATGAGTATGTTTGTCTGAGTGTAGTGAAGCTGTATGTAAATATAGTGTGCACTCACGCTTCCCCCTCGGGTCCGTAGGGAGGGTACATATTGCGACTCTGAGGCGGATATTGGCCCTGATTTGGTCCGAAAGGCTGGCCCGGCGGGCCAGCCGAGCTGTACTGATCGCTCGAGCCGTACTGCCCGTAAGCACCAGGGGGGGTTGGATAGGGGGAACCTGTAATAATTGAAAATATGTGCTCAATATCAAATAGTCATCTCACACACGAGTTAAGTCAGTTTTGGTACAGATATGGACAAAATAAAATTCAAATTAATTAAAGTTTTTAAGAGCTGTACAGATCTGAAAAAGCAGCTTATTATGCAATTCATACAATAGTTAGATTTGATCAGCAGTTCCGAACGATTTGCAAACTTCTTTATAATCTATCATTTCAAAATGCTTAGATAGACAGATAGCTTAATTTGACGGCATTACAATAAGCAGTCATAAAAACTAAACACTACTCCAATATAATCCGTGTTATTGGTTATTTTATAGCCAAATCAATTAGCCTTAAATCGATTATTAAAGCTTTTAAAATATGCTATATGAAAATAATAATAATAAGATTAAAGAGGATATTGGTAAGAAATTAATATTAGTCAATAGAAATCAAAATTTTGTATAGGAAAATAAATAGTAATTAAGCAAATTAGTTGTATGCAAAGACAGTTAGACTAGAACCCACATGCAGAACGATCGCAAACTGAAATCAATGAAGACGTTGCTTAACCATCAACTCGAAAGGAGACGTTAAAGAAATGGTATAACAGAACATAAGAAAAGAAAACATGATGAATGTACCTGGCGTTCTAGACACAGGCGTTGGATACCCAGAGCTACCCTGTGGATAAGGTACTCCAGTTCCAGGGCGCGCATGCTGCGTCGACGGCGGCCCATGTTGCTGTGGTGGTGGCGCCGGTGGTTGCTGCGACGGCGATGGCAATTGTGTTGGAATGCCTTGTTGGTGGTGTTGTTGGTTGCCCGATTGTGGCGCTGTGTGCGGTGAATGTGGGGGTGGTGGGGGAGCACCATGTGAGGCAGCACCACCAACTGCAGCAGCAGCAGCAACACCACCAGCGGCCCCACCGCCAGCAATTGGATCCTCAAAGGGATTGCTCACATTTATGTTATCACCGGCAACAGTGGCAGCTGATTGATTTTGAGTGCCTGAGTCGGCAAGCAGCATTGATGATGATTATGGATGGATTGATGAAGAAATTAATGAATGACACATAATAAAAATTGTAATTGTTGTAATTGGCATGAAGAGTTAAGGTTTTGTTGAGCGAGATCGAAGTGGATTTTTAATAATTTTAGTGGAGCGATGTGGTGTTGTTGTTGTTGTTGGTGTTCGTGGTGGTGGTGGTGGTGGTGGTTGTTGAGGGTGTCGGGTGATTGTGGTTTTTTGGTGATTTTTATAAGTAGTGCGCCCATATTTACGTAACCAACATAAAAATGAATAAACAAATTACACACATAAATTAATAAATCAAATTTTAGGCAAACGAAAACTATATGCATTATCTAATTGTAATACACGTTGAAAACATCGAAAACATAATTAATTCAATTCAATATTACAACAAATAAACGGTAATCATAGACATGGCTATATCATATATATGTATGTATATTTACATGTGTAAGCAATTTCAAAACGTATTTGTATATGTATGCAACTCAGCTGAGATCGTAATTTTAACTGAATCTGAATCTGAATCTATTGCTTACCAGGATGAGGCGCCTGTGGATTGCTCTGTGACGGCGGCCTTGGCATCTGACCCGCTGCTGCATAATCCGGCTGCGGGCCGGCAGATGGTGGATACGCACCAGCCCCAGAGTAACCTGTGTAGCCGTCTAAAGCCGCGTTTGGTGCACCGCCAGGTGGTGCAGGGAAGGAATCCTGCGAGTTCGATGACCCTGTCGAATTTGTTGTTCCAGCGTCCAAATGACCACCGCCGATTGGTTGCAATGAAGTTAAGATTAAAAGAAAGTGTTTAAATAGATAAATAATTAAGGTAATAGTTAGTTTATGTTAGTTAGTTAATGCTAGCCAAAATGCTCAGGTCGCGACTGCCCCACCAAAAGTATTAAACTTGTTCACGAACCGAGAAGTTAGTATTATAAATTAATAGTATATATCTATTAAAGCCAGAGTTGACCTATTTAATATAAATACCACAATAAGACGGAGGGTAGCGGGTTTTCCGATATTTAAAGTCGCAGAATGGCAAATTGAAGGATAGCATGTCTGATATGACTGATCCACTCTTATTTACAATGCCAAAGACTTGAAATTATAAATGTAAATATCAACAATATATGGTGGATATATCTACGCCCATTGAAGTTATGGCCAACTGTATATTCCTAAATTATCTATCGAGCCTTAAAATTACGTGTATGTAAGCTATTGATAAGAGACTCTACAGATCTGCAATATACCCAAATTTACTAGGAGCGAATCAAATCGATACCGGACGACATAATATTGTTTACTTATCTGTTATATTTTAGACATGAGAGAATTATAGTTGGTATAAAGCCATAAAACTTCCTAATATGTGTATTTAATTAGGCAAGACAGAAATCGAATCGGTAAAGTCTGAGATATTTGGGGCTAATCCTGTAACCACAGCTGACTTTAAGGAGCGTCGACTTTGGAATATCTATACCCCTTAATAAAGGAATTCCCAATATATGTAATGAAATGTTTTTTGTTAGATCAGGATCAGTGGGGCTTTTGAGTGGATAGAAATTCTTAAGCTATTCAAGGACTAAAGTAAAATGGACTGTTTATTCATTTGCCTATAGGTTGTGTGATAAGCCGATAAACGTATATCATCAAATGTCTGTAGCTGCAGACTCCCTCATGAGATTTAAAATGATAATAAATGGTAAACACTTACCTGGTGATGGTACCGATGCTGCCTTTGTTGTCTTTTTCTTGCTACCAGCCTCCACTTGTTGTATAATGGGTAATGGATCAATGTCGCCACGATCAAAGTGACACTCGAATGCCAACAGATTCTTTGTGTAGTGCTTACGCAGTGTGTATGCAGCGCTACTGCTGGCGCCGATTCCGAGCAGACCGGCAATATCCTTCCAGGTCTTGCTCTTGGTCACCTAGCAACAACAACGAAAATATGCGTATATATATTTGAAAACAGACTAGACTGGGTAGAGGCTTTTAAAAATCGGCATGAATTAGTAAAGAAGAAAGATAAAAAATACGAGCAATTAAGAGCGTGTTTTTAAGACGCTCTCAACAATATTTTCGCAACAGGGTTAGTAATAAAAATGTAAATCAAACTGGAAGAAAGGTCTTGTAAATAAAATTGTTAACGGAACCACTTCAGATTAATTATGAAAAATGTCGACACTCAGTTTTAAAAATATTTGGAAAATGTTTTTGAAAAGCATGCAATCAAATAACTCATGCAAAAGTGAGAAAATTATTTGAATTCATGTAGTTCTGATTCAATCAACTTTAATGGTGTAGGAAAGACGTCAAGTACTTTCCAGATCTTACAGAAAGGTAAATGTGGTAGGATGTCATGCTATTGAAATATTTTGGAAAATCGATGATTGACTTGAGTTTGGTTGGTTTCACGTTAAAAGAATTCAAAATTTTTGTTACTGTGTTAGCTACATTTTTTACTTCGGTTGGTGGTGTTTGGTGGTTTGATTGATTGGTTGGTTGAGCATTAATTTTGGTTTGTTTGATTTGGTTTTGCTAGTAAATCTAAAAAGAAGTTAGTAAAAGGAGTTACTACGGCACCTTGCATACCTCGACGAATCCGCCACGTTCTTTTACATAAATATATAACCTATATAAATCAAGTGGCTGTTTTGAGATGGTGGGGCATGCCGTTATTGGTGTACGGCGATCCTCCATGAAAGCACGTAATTTGTCTAGCCAACCGCGCCTATCCGGATTGTCATCCATTTCATAGAGCTTGCAAAGTGAATCGGATTTCTTAGTTGTCGTTATAGTACTACGAAAAGGTTCTTGTTGAACAGGAACATGACTGTTGAAAACCTGCTATAGATGGGAGAGTAAATCATTTAATTGAATATTCACAATGTAATTAAATCATGCTTACTGAGCCTGCGGCTGGACGGGGCCAGTTTGGAGGCGAGTTCATTTCGTACTCTTCGCCTGTCGGTCCGCCACCTCCATGCATTACAACTGGATGTGGCGATGGGCTGGGTGGAGCTAAATGGCTTTGGCTATATGGATCATGTTTGCGCGACTTTGGCGTGGTACACTGTGGATCTTCACCCGATGCTGCAAGACGGGAGAGCCTCAGTTACGAACATAAATAACTCATTCGGATTACCCACCTGCAGACGCATTTGAGAGCGTGCTCTGTTGACTGACTTCATCCATTGGTGTGCCATCCGGTCCAGTTGTAACTACTGCAGTGACGGCATGCAAGCCTGCGGCTGGGGACGAAGCAGATGAACTAATGCCATTGTCTTGGGATATATGTTCGGTGTCGCTGCCACTCTGTGCGCCCATCATAGACTGCGGCGGTGTACTGGTAGGTGGCCCCATACTTTGCGGCGGACCCATATGATGTGGAGGACCCATGGGCATTGACGGATGCATGCCAGTGGGTCCATTTCCATAGCCCTGTGGTTGGGGTCCCGCTGGACTACCGCCATATCCACCTTTGTGTTGTAAATGCTGCTTAAGATAGTTAAGAGGACGCGGAGAGCCACTGCCCTGTGGCGGTGGTGGTCCAACTGGTGGTGGTGTGCCCTTGCCCTGTACGTGATTGCCCATGCCAGCGGAAATTTGTACTGATCCACTGCCAGGGCCAGACTGCTGTGGTGACGGAGGTACCCACTGATACGGAGGATACTGCTGATGGGGGCTGCCACTGCCGTGGTTTGGCATTGACCGAGGGTAACCAGCTTGTGCGCCGGATGGCATGCTGTTAGCGCCCCCAGCGGACTGGCTATTTGGTGGCGGTTGTGGTCCAGCTCCATACGCTCCCGACGGATACTGGGGACGTGGGGGGTAGTTACCTAGTAAATATAGATATATTTGTCAATACGAATTTAACTAATTATTTAGATTCCCTCAGCATACCTTGAGGATACTGCTGTGGAGGATATCCTTGAGCACCGGGGCTTTGACCTGGTAAGCTCATTTTGTAACCGCCATGTATATGTTGCGGGAGTGGATAGCCACCGGCAGCTCCTTGCGGCGGWGGTGGTGGTGTAGCCATATTGTTAACATTTTGGTTTGGCGCCGGTGCAGGTGGTGGCGTCTGCTGCGGCGAATTACTCGCTGATGATGCKGAATTTGAAGCCTGCTGCTGCTGAGATTGTTGCTGAGATGGTGGCCCACCTGGTAGACCGTGTGGTGGCATTGGTGGTGGGCCAGCAACCACGGTCGGTTGCTGCATTGGACCGCCACTACTTGACTGATTACTCGCCGGACGCGATATTGGATGATTTTGTGCTGAAATCAAATTAATTTAATATTGACATACAGTTCGCTAACATTTTCAGATACATACCCACTGCAGGAGACATGGATCTTGAGCCCGACGAGCCTGTAGGCGAAGGTGTTGGCCTCATTACTTGCTGTGGGTTAGGTGTACCGGGTGGGCCTGAGCCCATGCCGCTGTGTGCTCCACCACTTGAACTATCGTTGCTATTTTGCCCGATCAGCTCCTGTAATAAATATATAAAGTGGTGTCAAGACATCAATCAGTGACATTTTTTATTATTACACGTATAGCCCAGCAATAATAATAATATAATCCAAGTTTGATGACATCAGCAGAACCAACTGAAATATCGCAATGTTCTCAATACAACCCCTAAGGAACAGACGCATTGCAATAAAGAGTGACTTTAACTGTTCAAATAATATCTAAAAATGATGATGGGGCTACATGTTTTCATTGAAATTGGTCAACTCGGCTTAAACAATATAGACGCGAACAACGACGCCAAATTTCCAGCTAAGATTCTAAACAGTCGACATCGACTTTAGGTTGCCGCTCGTCTATAAAAATTCAAAATAAAAATAAAAAACAACAAAAAAGCTCAACCCAAGAGAGCACAAACAAGACACACAAAGATACAAGTAAATACACACACTCACACTCTGACATGCATTTATATACATATATGCACACCATACCAACAACAGGGGCTTAAGCCGACAGCTATTCGAGTCGCACAGTAAAACGAACAGCGCGGGATCAACATTGTCGATATAAATGATGATGGCGAGAGGTGAGGAATAAGGGGCCCACGACGGCATACTCTGCTCTGTTCGGCGCTGTTCGTTTGGGTATCTGAGAAATTAAGTGAAGTGAAATGAAATGTACGACGAACTGACGGGCACACAGCCATGGCAGAGTCAAAGCGCAAAACAAAAACAACACCAGCAGCGGCAAAGCAAAAGCTATGTGGAACGAACGAATAACGACAAAGTCGACGAAGACTGCAACTTAAAGCGTTCAGAGGGGCGCGGATTGGAGATGTGGCAGTGGTAGTTATGGCGCGCGTTGAGTGAGCCAACGTACGATGACAAAGACGTAGATAAGAAGCAGCAACGTGAACACATATACTCACACACACATATATGCACACAGCTACACACTTAGCCACATGTATACTGCACACATTCAATGTTAAACTATAATAAAATAAAGAAAAAGAAAAAGAAAAAAAACAGCGCCAGCCATTCGTTTCTTCTCTCGTTTCTCCGCTCATTCGTTTTCATGCCATACACATACCTACATAGAAGACCAAGCAAGCAAAAGCGTTGAGTGTTTCGTGTATGGTTGAACAGTGAACTCGGGGGAATGGGGCCAAGCAAGGAGTATACTTGAGTAGCATAGGCGACGGCTGCGGCGGCGTTGATGACGAGAATAGCAAAGCCACCACAGACGACGGTCGAACAGCAACAACAACAGCAGAAAGCAATGCTAAAAAACGATGAGCGATGGGGCAACGCTCCTCAAGATGAAGGCGGCCCACGTTTTTAGTTGTGAGTGTGTACGTAAAAACTTGCCGGCATGTAGAAAATTACTTGGAAAAAAAAAACAACCGATACGGGAACAGCACAATGAAATCATTTATAACAAACATGCGCTTACGTACATATGTACGTATGTGCCTTTGTATGTGTGCATACATTTAGTATTTTATTGTTTGCGTGCATTTAGTATTTTTGCTGCTTACATCTTTTTTAAGAGCAAACAGAATTCAGCGACAGAGAGAAACACATTGTTCGCACACAACACATTAAAAATGCAACTGAATTCAAGATTTTTGTTTTCAATATAATAATACAATGCCGAAACGAAGATAAGATTAAGTAATCTGAAATCGCAAAACAATGCTGAACGCAAATGTTGGTACGAATATCAGTACGATGATTCTAGCTTTTGCGGACTTACAAGCTGTATAAAATTATTGTACTCATTTAGTATGCATGTTATTAGGTGGTTAAAAGAGAAGTTATTTATTGTAGCGGGTGTAAGCAATACAGTATTTTCATATGTGATTGAGTACATACACATATATATTTACATGCATTTACATATAAATGTCAATCGATGAGTACTCACACTAATACAAGCAGAGACAAGTAAAGAGCGGTAAAACATGCTCGGCACAGCTGAGATGCTAGTGCTGAACGCTAAACACTAAACACTGAAGCCCCAACGCAGCTCGTAAACATTCATCAGTTATTTGAGGTGTGTTGTGCGCGCTTTTCTGTTTCTTTGTTCTTTATTTCTTAAATGCTTGAGCTCGTAGGAGCTCCCGTGTGCTACTTACAATGCTTTAAGTTAAAATTTTATTTTAGTTCGGTGCTAACGCAAGAACAAATTGAAGTATTATTTTATATACATACATAGTTGATTATTATTATCGACACCATATTAGAAAATATCTTACACATCGATAATAAATTGATCAGTGGCGAGTGCAAAGAATTAATTATAATTAAATTAAATTAGCTGCATGTGCTTGCTTCGTTGTGTTTCAAAGTGGATCATGAATATTGCGAAATAAACTTTTGAGCTAATGGCAGCAGGATTCCCTTTCTTTCTCTTCTTTTCTGTTTTATATGCCGTAAAGCATCCACTTTTTCTTTAAAGCTTCAGAAATTTTGTTGTTGTGAGTAAAATGCGTCTGCGTTGTCAGTACAAAACATAAAAGCAAACAGCCCGAAAGCAACAACAATGACCTTGGCATTGACCTAAATGCATACATACATACATGAAAACAGATGCTCTTTGTGAGATCTTGAGTGTATTCGTGTTTTATCTATGTATGGGTATGTGCACACACAACAACAGCAACAACATAAAGGGAATGAGTAAAAAATGGTATGAGACACGTCGACGGCACCGGCAACTGCGACCATTGCGGACATTCTGAATGAATAAGTGTACCACTCACACACACACACACACACATACCGACTTCTCCTGCCGAATATGTACAATAATGGACAGAGTCAAAGAATCAGACAACATAAAAGTTGTTGTCATGGCCCGAACACTGATAACGCGTATCAGCCAAGAGCTTGGTTCAGTGCAGCTAATATCACACAAGGCGAAGTGAAATAAGTAATTGTTGGATATTACGTATTAAAGTGGAGGTGTGTTCGTAATAGTGATTCTCGTATACTAAACAATTACCTGGTGCGGCGATGGCGATGCTTGCGAGGGCTGCGGCGATGGACTGGGAGCATGGCCAGGACTGCTACTGGGTGGCGGGCCACCACCAGCGCTATGTGGCGTTGGCGGCTGTTGCAGCGGGGCATGGTGCGGCGAGGCAGGCGGCAATGGATGACCGGGACCAGGACTGGGCGATGAGCCACCAGGCCACGGCCGATTTGGTTCCGGATACTGAAAGTACAAAATATAATCGCACTTAGAATAGAATGAGAGACTCGAAAGATTTATCTATATATATATACATATATGCTATATCCCGATACATAAATATATTTTGTATATATTTTAATTACAACAGAATAGTTAAAAATTATTTTTTACCTGGTGCGTTGTGTAGGCAGTTCGATGGTTGGGCCCAGATGTCGGTAAGCCTGGTGGTGTTGGATACCTTTGTGGGTACGGCGAATATTGAGAAGTGGGCGGTGCATTCTGTTGCTGCTGTTGCGGTGCAGGACCGGAAGGGGGCACTGGCGCTCCCGGGGCGCCAACACCGCCAGGCTGTTGTGCGGCCTGTTGTTGTTGTTGCTGTTGGGCCTGTTGCTGCTGCTGCTGTTGTTGTTGTGGCGAACTTGGATAGGAACCTGAGTTTTGACTGTGAGCTGGCGGATATGGTGATTGACCCCGGGAAGTATTTGTCTGCTGTGAATAAAACAAAATAAATAATTTGTCCCATTCATTTACGTTAATAACTGCATACATATACATATATAGTCTCACTCCCACTTCCACTCCCACCCTGACACCCATAACAAATGTAGTCAGCAACATCAAAACAGCAACAATTCAAAAGAAGCAGCAGAGTTGTAGCATTGTTGCAAATGGCAGACCCAAGTAAGACATGGCAATAAATCTAATGCGAGCTGCTACCAATAAGCGCTACTCTCGAGTGTTTGTGTCTCTGAAGCAGCAGCAACAACAACGCTGCTGACTGGTCCAGGGTCCACTGCAGGGTGACAGGAAACATGAATGGATGGTTTTGGTGCATACCGAGAAGGGGCATCGTCAATGTGCTCTTGCCTCTATATTAATGTATGAGTATGAGTGTGTGTGTGTGTGTGTGTGGTGAGCTCAACTCAACTAAAAAGGGAAAACTCATCATGGATGAAAATTAAACGCAGAAATATATACACAGCCGAACGACCAAACGAACGAATGGCCGGACGAACAGGCCTGAAGAGGAACTCAAATGCGTTCAGCAAGGGTCGCAAGTTGTGTTGGTGCTCCACACACATGCAAACACACACACAGAGACAAAATGAATGAGCGAACGACGCGACGGCGACTAAACGAATGACAGCGAAGCAGAGAAAATAACCGTTTGTGTAAAACAGGGGCGGGTAAACGCAAACGCACGGCGAAACAACTACAACTACAACTGCACTGCTCGGCTCGGCTCTGTGCGGTATTTTAACGGTGGTGGATTGAAAGCCGGTCCGAACGGAAAACACAATGGCAAAACTGAGCATTAAGGGAATTGTTTTTCTTTGATTGATCGACATGAATATATTCTTTTTTTTGCGATCAATATAACAAATACAGAGTTAAAAAGTAAATTGATTTAGTTTAGCGAAGGCTCTGATCTCTTCTCTCTATTGAAGAGATGAGATATAAAATTGCATTTATAAGATCATAAAACTGATTGTACGATTGATGTATCATAAAACTGATTTATGAATATTACAAAATTATCAATTACATACATATATACTTTTCAATTCCACTATATATTGAGTATATCAAGATTTAAGAGTGCAGAATATACAACTACTATTGACTCATGATACAGCATTAATAAAAAAAATTATAAATCTGATTGCCTAAAAATACATTGTAAATGATTTGTATTTAAATATCATTTAGAGATATTTTTCATTTCAGTTATTTAGTTTTAATCAAATCTATATACCTTACATTTATGATTTACAAGTACAGGGTATACAAATTTTGTTCTATTGTGCGTTTATAATTTTTTATACCTTAAATTTATGCCAAGACAGGCATTATTATTGGGGACTATATGTACATATATATATATATATATATATACAGTTGCGAAAAATAAAATAGCACCACTTGCAAACGCAAAGTTTAAGAAGTTCTCCTAGGTGCATTTATCAATGTATTGATCTAATTTTTTCTTGTATGTAAGCAGAAAACAATTAATAATCGCAACAAGCCAGAATTATCCCAAAAATATTAATCGTTTTTATATAATTCAAAAAATTCTCAAAAAAGTCGTAAAAATGCCGAAAAAAATAATAGCACCACTAACCCTTTTCGAGTGAAAATCTNTAATTATAAAAAAGTGTTTTACTCATGACCAAAGTTAGTTATAGGGATATATAAAGATCATAAAGATTATGAAAGTATTTACTGAAAATATGTACATACATATATGAGTTTGAAGTTAAAAATTAATTGCAAATAATTTAAAATAATATAAGATCTTCTCGTTTGTAGTTTAATGCATATATCCCAATGTCACGTTAAAAATTTATATTAATATTTACTGCAAATATTAAAATTGACAATTACAAAAAATTGCTGTTCACACTATTTACTTATTAAAATATAAGCAATTGTAGCAGCCTCAAAGGACCCAAAATCAATCCAAAAACACCGATTGCACGTAGACCAATCGTAAAGCATGTACTTTCGACGTTTTTTGGAGGTCAAAGTCGGCTGAACTTTAAACGCCCTAACCACAATCAATAAAAAGCAATATGGATGCAACAGCAGGACGCACGGCACTGAAATGCTGATTGTGATAGCAAATGAAAATAGTCTGAAGCAATCTTGCATGTAATATTATGAATTTAAATTCAAATATATTCCGTATTGCCTCAAATGCAGCCCCTTTGCCTAACTCGCCTAAAGTCTCAATTCAGTTCTTAACCAAGTCCAGCTATAATTTTACTGTTACTTAAGCGAATACTTTCAAATTACCATTCACGAATTGCAACGCTAGAAGCGAAAATAAAAATAAATAAACAAAACGTGAAACAGTAGCTCAAGCAAACACACACACACGCACACGCAGCCAAACACAAACATTTATGTACATATGCCTGTATGTACGTGTGTGTGTATGAATAAGCAGATTCAAGCGAACAAGCCGCGCGTCTCTTCCTTCTACTTCTGCTTCTGCCTGCTTCGTCAGGTGGTGGTGGTGGTGGGAACTGCCGGCAACTTCTCTTGCCAACACCACACTGTTTTTTCGTTGCCTTTTCATGGTTTGTTGTTGTTTGTTATTGTTTTCCGGCCGCCCGGGCAGGTTCTTAAAAATTGGTTCTTTGCTCGTACTTTTCATCTGTTATATGTGTCAGTATGTCTGGAGTCACCTGATTGAACCCTCCTTGATCGCCAAGGCACTCTTTACACTCATAGCAGTTGCACTTACCGGGGGAGGTGTCCTATACTGCTGCGATGGGCCCAACTGTGGACTGTAGGGTCTTGGGGGCGGTGCCCAGCCGCCCTGCTGCGCTCCGTATTGCTGGTGCTGTGGCGGCGGCGGTCCATGGCCCGGTAACGGGGGCGGCGGTCCGCCCGGCTGTTGCGCGTTCTGCTGATGCTGCTGCTGTGCTGCGGCAGCGGCAGCGGCTGCAGCCGCGTTGGCTTGCTGTGTCTCATAGTTGTTTGCATAGCGATGCTGGGGTGGTGGGGGAGGATTCGACGATTGCAGCAATGAGTTCAGTGTTGGTGTTGGACCCTGCGGAGGCTGTCCGGGTATGTAGCGCTGTTGCGGAGGTCGGTTCGGCGAGCCCCCTGTGCCACCCTGCGACTGCTGCTGCTGCTGGTGAGGCGGCTTGCTGCCTGGCGGTGGCTGCTGCGGCGGCGCATGACCGTAGCGGTAGGGATCCACATTAGGATCAGCCGAGTGGTAGCGCGCATAAGCAGGATGAGCATGCGGGTGTTGGACGCCAGGTGGCGGCGGCAAATGTGCCGAGCCGTATTCATCCTTCACACCGGGAGTATGCTCTAGCGGCAGCGGTAGTGGTCCCTGTGGTGGTGGTGGTCCACCATGGTGTTGCATGTGTGGTGGTAGCGGTGGACCCTGTGGCTGCTGTTGTTGTTGTTGTTGCTGTTGCTGCTGTTGTTGCTGATGTAAGTGATGATAGTGCGACATAGCTGCAGCCGAGTCGGGAGCTACGCCGGGCACGGCACCAGGAGGCGGGCCGCCATAGGGATGTGGTACACTGCCACTTTGTTGTATAATAGGATCGTTGCCGTTGTTCGGTGTGGGCGGACCCGATGTGGGCGGTGTGGCACCACCTGTGCTGGCTGCCACCGCTGGGGTCACATTTCCACCAGCTGCGCCACCACTCGCCTGGGTTGAGGGCGATTTGATTTTCTCATTCATTGCGTCCTCGTTGCGCTGGCGATGCTTATCGAATCAAGAACTCTGCCTGTAGCTGTGGAATATCCACCAACAACGCTGACGCTGATGACGACGACTTCCCCGACTGCAGCGGCAAGTTTGAGGTTATGTTAGCTGCAAGTTGGAAAAGCATTCGTTAGTCTACTTAACTCAAAGCCCCCCACAATAAAATCAGCACCATGGAACACACTATCAACACCAGAAGACAGTAACTGCCCAATACGCATTTCATTTAGCCGCCAAAGATTCTGTAACTCCTCATTCTGTGTATCGAAAAATCAGCTACCACTACCACAGCATTCTGACTGTCCGTTTACAAATTGTCGCGCGTTGACAGCCACAGCTACAGCCGCAGAGCGCTCTCTCTCTCTCTTTCTCTCTCAATTTTCAATTCTCTCTCGCGCGCTCTTTACATTTGGTAGCTAAACACGCAAACGCCATCTCACTTGCATGAGAGTGTGGCTCTCACTGTCGCACTTACATGTGCGCCTATGGGCTGTCTGTATTAGTTTTTGTTTAATAGGGGAAATAAATAATACATTAATTACATTTTATAAGTTGACTTGAGATTATTGAAACAGTTTTCAATCACAGCCTTCTTCTAAATGCAGAGCATTCTACCAAAAAAATAACATATAAATGAGTCTAAGAGATTGCTTAGAAATCCTCTAAAATTAGCCGGTCAATGTTTTTATGTATTATTTTCAATATTTGAAAAATATGTAGGTATATTAAATGTTGCGCCTAATTAAATACTGATTGTCTAAAGCAATACGAACTAAAAAATTTTTTAGTATCAATTTGGATTTATTTCCAAGCTCAAAATTCAATGCCTAGTTTTTTTTTGTATTTATTATTTTTCACGAGTTCAACTATTCCGAAATTGCTTCGTGCAGTCAGTCGTTCGAATTGAGAATCCAATTGCTAGGTGTTTATCTTTAGAATAAGTAAAACAATAGATCAATTTTATTATTCTAGGCCGCTAACTGGCACAGACTATCATCTGATACAATGCAATAATTTGTCTTCATATGAGACAATTGGTCAAGTGAAGCAAGCCCATAACAAAACAAGGTGCCTGCAATACTTGCATAATTTGTTTTATAGAGTTTTATTAATCCACTTGCAGTTCATTTCTTTTTGTTTAATATGCTTTACAATTTTTTGCGCGCTCCCACAGATTTTCAGTGTTCCGAGTGCTATTTATCTCGCTTGTATTGTATGCGGCCTTTTTTGTATTGCAAAAAGGTGTGCGAGAGCGAGACCACTAGTGTTACATACACATTTTAATGCCGAGTGTGAGAGTAAAACGAGTTTAGCTATCGCGTTTTTTACAATTTGTTTTTGGCTATTTTTTATTTTGTTGGTTATTCTTATTTCTTTACCAAAATCGCCACTGTCAACTTATAATTTAAGTTAAATCATTTTTGATTTTATAGCCTTTTTAGAGTGGGGAAACAGTTGTAATTGTACTGCTCGCGACTGCTGACGTTTGTCGTTCTCGTCGTCTCGTTTATGCTTCATTAAAGACTTTTTTTCTTTCTTTTTTTTTTTTTTTAATTTTTTGCGTGATTATCTTTTTGGTTTATTGCTTTTGGCTGGTTGGCTGAGATTCATACATATTGGCGTTAGCTTGACCCTTTGGTGATGATGATGCAAGGATGTGTCCCGACAAATTCATATTTTATGTATACACACACATGTATCTGTACCGTACCGAACTTTGAGCCTGCATGTATGTACATATTTGATTTTTACGTAGCAGGCTTGTACTTTTCACTCGTTGGCAGAACGAGTCCGGTAAATTGTTGGTGATTTAGGCTTTTTTCTGAACTAATCGAAACACATGCACACAGCACACACCCACACTTACACATAGAAATATATTCACGCATCGACCGTCCATAGACTGGCTATATACACTAGAAACGAACTCGCGTGAGAAGACAAGCTCGGTACGAGTACGAACATTAAATTGTATGCGAGTCTTGTCGGCCGAGAAAAATCATTCATTACTGTAGTGCACAAGAAAAAACACCTGGTATTTGGTAAATTCACATTCGGGTATTAGGTCAACGAATTCTGCTTATAATCTATACACTTTATCCTCTTTATCCAGTGTATTTTACTTATTTTTCATTATTTCTCAGCATGACGACGAGCTGGCCTTATACAAAGCGATTTTTAGCGTTGCCAGATATTTTTACTGACGCGAACAAATATGGCGGATAGTACATAAAAAATGTTCAACTAACATCGATAGTATCGATATTCGGACTTTCCAGATTTTATAGCTTAAGAGTTGATGTGGTATTTATCGAGACCTAGTAATATCGATGAATATAAATGTATAGAATAATAATCGCATTATGTTATGAATAAAAATCACTGCACTTTTAAAAATTATAACGTTCTGTAACTGCTTATAAATAATTAAAGAGAATGATAATAAATATTTTGGTTTGTAATTACAAAATGCTTTTGTTCTTACAGTATTTTATAGGTATGTTTAAAAGCATTTTTTAATCTTACCGCAGCTGGTCACATTGTATGTAAGAAGCACCGTTATTAGTCGAATGGACTTTGGTTCCTGTTTCTGATCCATGCAATTTAATATTTAAATTTTGTGAAATGCGCATAATTTATGTTCTATTAATATGGTGGCATGTATTATATGTGCAATACGAATTTAAATATGTGGCCGCATTTTCATTACGGAAAAATGATTTGCTTGATGGGGAAGACGTCAAGGAAAATTTAGGTAAGATCGGTAATTGATCAAATTTTTCTCCTTTTGCGTGTATTTCAAAATGGACTCGTTTTACAACTAGAATTTGTATTATAACTATCTCACTCTATCGTATTGAATATAACTGAGATAGACGCACACATTTTTACTTTATATTTAAATCGTTTATAATAGCTAGATAATACTTCACTTTTTATTGTAGAAGCTCCAAAAACGGGGCTATTAAAAGTGTGCAAAAGTTGCAAATCTGTACAATGTGTGCCACAAATCCAATGTCCAGCCCATGTACGCATGGCGCAACATGAAAAGCCCCAAATTTGTGACCTGCCCGCTGGAAAATTTGGTTATTGCTGCAAAACCGGGCAAAATCACACAGCCGGACATAAAAAAGCACGAGCTGTTTTTCAAACGATCTTGCCACCTGACGTGATCGAAGATGCACGTAAAAACTTTAAGCATCTCATGCATGGCGTTGCCCAGATACCAGTGAATCGAGGGCATCCAGATTTCACTCATGGCATTATGTTTCACTCGTCACCCAAAGATGATTTCCATAATTTCGCACTGTCTAATAGTGCGTTCGAATTGGTCATCGCCAGCCAAGTGTTTGGCAAGAAGGAGCAGGTACCCCTAGATGATCTTATCACCAATAATGTACCCGTTGAGTTTTCCAAGACTCCATTAGCCCAGCATTGTCAATCTATGCCTGTTTGCCGTGGTACACTCAAATATCGAACTTTGGATGGCACATGCAACAATCCGCTGTCTCACCGCTTGCATTGGGGTGCTGCTGGTCAGCCAATGGAGCGTCTGCTTCCACCAGCCTATGAAGATGGGATTTGGACTCCACGCGCGCACTCTAAAGATGGGACTCCATTGCTAAGCGCCCGTGACATCTCAAGAACTCTTTTTGCTGATGTTCATCGTCCGCATCCAAAGTATAATCTGCTGATCATGCAGTTCGCGCAACTATTGGCGCATGACGTCTCCCAATCGGCTTCAGTGCGTCTCGATGAGAATGGGGGCTTAGTGCAATGTTGTTCGCCGGACGGGAGAAGCATTTTGCCACCAGAAAAATCACACTTTGCCTGCCTGCCGATTCCTGTCTCTGCGAATGATGAATTTTATAGCGCTTTTGGCGTGCGGTGCTTGAATTTGGTGCGACTTTCACTTGTGCCCAGTGCCGACTGTCAGTTGAGCTATGGAAAGCAACGCAACAAGGTAACCCACTTCCTGGATGCTTCTCCAATATATGGCTCCAGCGAGGAGTCGGCACGTGAGCTGCGCACCTTCCGTGGCGGTCGATTGCAAATGTTTAATGATTTCGGACGTGACATGCTGCCCTTAACACGCGATAAGAGTGCCTGTGGCAGTGAGGAACCAGGCAGTACGTGCTTTAAGTCGGGTTAGTGATGTTCGACCTTTACCTGTATCAATCAAAAACTATAGCATAATATCCTTTCCAGGTGATGGCCGCACAAATCAAATTATCTCTCTGATCACTTTGCACATTGTCTTCGCACGGGAGCATAATCGAATTGCCAGCATCTTAGCTAAATTAAATCCATCGGCAAGTGATGAATGGCTCTATCAGGAGACTCGCCGCATTGTGATTGCAGAGATACAGCACATTACCTACAATGAGTTTCTCCCGGCATTAATTGGTCCCCAGCAAGTGAAGCGATTCCGTTTAATACCTCGCCAGAAGGGATACTCAAACGAATACAACATTGATGTGAATCCAGCTATTACTAACGAATTCTCGGGAGCTGCATTCCGAATGGGTCATTCTAGGCAAGTTATGCAATAATTTGCATGATCTGAGATGTGCCTTATAACTTTTATTTGCCTTGAATTTTTTAGTGTTGTTGGCAAATTTCATATACGTGATGAAATTATAAATATTCCTGATGTTATGTTCAATCCTTCGCGCATGCGTAAGCGTGAGTTCTACGACGATATGCTGCAAACACTTTACACACAGCCAATGCAAGAAGTCGACAGTTCGATTACACACGGTGTAAGCACTTGAAAAGTAATAATTAGGCTATTTATACTCATGTCTTCACACTGTAGATCAGTAGATTTCTGTTCCGTGGCCACAGTCCGTTTGGCTTGGATCTGGCAGCCATTAATATTCAGCGGGGTCGCGATCAAGGTATACGCTGCTATAATGACTACCTCCAAGTGATGGGAGCACCAAAATTAAAAAGTTTTGATAAATTTCCAAGGGATGTAAGTACTATTTGAGTTTATACTTTATTTGAAATGCCCTTCAGAGCTTTTCATCTTTAAAGGTTGGGGAAAAGCTGTCGCACGTCTATAGAACGCCTGATGATATTGATTTATGGGTGGGCGGTCTATTAGAGAGAGCGGTTGAAGACGGTATTGTTGGAATTACTTTTGCTGAAATTATTGCCGATCAGTTTGCACGCTTTAAGCATGGAGATCGGTATTTTTACGAATATGATAATAAGGTCAATCCAGGAGCGTTTAATTCAGCGCAACTTCAGGAGGTGCGTAAGGCTAGCATTAGCCGCTTGTTGTGTGATAATGCCGATCACCTAACATTGCATTCTGTGCCACTAGCCGGATTCGTACGCGCGGACTTTCCTGGGTAATTTGATAACATTGTAGAAATTTCAACTCTTACTATGAATTTCTCTTTTATATTTTTGCAGAAATACAATAGTACGTTGTGATGATCCGAGGCTTCCATCAGTTAATCTTAACGCATGGCGTTTATAGAGAAAGAATTAAGAATTAGCTACATTTTTTATATTGTGAAATTATTGCAAGAAATGTTCCTGTGTCACCTGTATAAATTATAACGGGTGCATTTGCCCAGATACCGTTTTAAACCAAATATGAATTTTTAAATGAACTCTATTATTGTTTACGACTTGCAATACATGTTAACAAAGTTGTATAAAATAAATAATTTTGATTGAGGTGCTTTACTTGTGATAGGCATATATAAAAATATAAACATACATAAGTGCTAAAAATGGTAATGTAATCTAGGTTGATCTATAGCAAATACTCCTCGCTGAGTCGCTCGTTCAGTTCGTAGACAACTAAATTAACAATGGCATTTAGCTAACCAATGTAATTTTCAGATTGACGGTATACTGTTAATTAAATTTACATCGAATTTTGTTTTGCATTTACCAGTTTACACTTGCTATTTTTAACCGTGTAAATTGGATTAAAAGGCTGATAAGCCTAATGTAAATTAATGTAAGAATTATCATAACATTACTGTTATTACAACACTTTGTTGTTTCTTGATTCATCTACACGTCTTTATGTCTTTAATCTCTTTGTTTGTCTCGCCTTCCGACTAGATTATTGTGTGCTGCCCATAGTATAAAATATGTAGTAAAACTCAAAATAATTTTATTGAGGGACAGCAATTTGTGTTAATAAACCAGATAACGTTTGAGTATGGATGAAGTGCATCTATAGCTGCTCCTGGCCGTAGACATTCTCATCAGAGTAAGCCATGTACAAGAAAAAGTCTTTATCACGGTGCTCATGGTACAGCAGGCCCATGGAGGCAGATGTGGGTGGTATGACATTGTTGACGAAGAAGAATAGGGCATCATCTGGGCGAAGATTAATGCGTTTGCGTATTAGAAAATAGAATTGCCCCACTGTCAGATCATTGGGCACCAAATACTTCTTCTTGTCCAAGGCGGCATGACGTGTCTTCGGCGCCTTCTCCACGATAACGGGCACGCGGTCTGGATACTTTCGGCGTATCTTGTCGCCCTCAGCTCGCCGCTTTTCAAATGAATGATCCTTCTTAAACTGAAAGTTCACATTCATTATAGGGCGAGTGGTTTTCGTTCAAAGAAATAATATAAGTTGGAATTTTAGTAGGTAATTGCGAATCAGATTAGATTTATGCTGGGGGTTTGTTCAAAATTTATGATTTTTATTTGGGATATTATACTATTCTGAAACATCTGGCTTTCAAAAGCTTACTATATCAAACCTATGTATATTCGAGAATGCATAAAGACAGCGCCGAGTGAAGATTGCTGCAGTCTAAAGGCTTTTATCAATGTGCATAGTATATCTCTTCCAGCTACCCGGGCGGAGCTGGTGCAACTAAATAGGTTCATGGAAGCGGGAGCTTTTGCAAAAATAGCACAAGCTTAGCCCCCACAAAAGCTATAAGCTACAAGAACCTTGTAGCCTATGGCGGCCTGTAACGCTTTCGAAGCTTATTTCTCACTATATATTAGCTCAAATAGGTTGGACGTGCTCTCTCTGGCTTCGCTCGGTTTTGTCGCTCGGGTTTCTTTGTAATATAGACGATGTTGCGAAACGACTCTGTGATTTCGGTGTATTTCTGATTTCCGGTTTCCATTGAAGCTTCGCCACTAATCAGATATTTCAGTTGGTGTTATTCAACAGGTGCACGAAGTCGCTATCAGTAATACGGTCCGCGGCAAGAGAGAGCTACCTGAATTTTATGTTTTTTTTTTTTCGCACACTTACATGCATCTCATGAATACATACTTATGTGGATGATTGCAGCCGCAATTGATACAGAAGCTTTGCGCGTTTTAAACTCAAATAAAAATCACATCGAAATCGAATAAAATCTCGAAATAAACAAAACAATGTTTCATGGAAAAAAATCCCAATAATGTAAGAATAATTATTTATGAAAAAATTAATGTGAGCAGTAATAATTGTCCGAATTAAAAAACGGTTACAAAAAGTGTTTTAAAAATATACAAGTTATTGCAGTGCGGTAAGAGTTGAAAGCAATCTGTAAATTAAAAAGAATAAAGCTACATTTAACCATGCAAATTATTATGTAAAAAATATAATAATAACATATCTACATAAAAATAAAGTAATATATTATA